CACAGGCCGTTACAGACATTTTAATTAATTAATTCACTAAGATTTAATGAATAAGTTGACTGTCACATACCATTTCATACACAGTTTGGATTTATTAAATAGTATGGCAGATGTTCTTTATATACAATTAAAATCCATATGGCAGTGGTATCTCATTGAAACAGTTGAACTAATGTCTTATACTAGTTCTAGGGAATTGAGTAGCGAATTGTGAGCCATTGTATTAAAAAAAGAGATCAAAAGAAACAGCTATAAGGTGATCAGAGACAGACAGCTGCATCATGTTTGACATTTTTAATTTCGAAGAGTTTGTGCTAACAGCTTTCTCATTTGAATTTTATTTTCTTCTTTTTCGCTAAAATATTTAGTCTTGGTGCTCATCTTTGTGCATTTGCTTCTAATAATTTATTTATAATATCAAATAAAAAATATAAATTTGCACGTATAACTGGTCTCGATCCTGCTGGTCCACTTTTACGGAAAGCTTCTATTGATAAACGTTTATCACCTGATGATGCTGATTTTGTTGATTGTATTCATACATCAGCAACATTTGGTTTGCAAGAAAAAAGTGGACATATGGATTTTTTTCCTGATGGTGGGAATAGTAATGCACAAGGATGTGAAAAACTTCTTCATATTAAAGACGATTATGATGTTAAGAAACGTTATAATATTAAAAGATTGTTTTTTGGTGAAAGTCAAAAAGAAGATTTAGATAGTAGTGAAAGTCTACCAGAGAAAAGTTTCATTGAAAAGCTACGTGATCAACTAGGATATATAACTTCATTAAAGGACGTTTTTCTTAATGTTCATGCTTATATTGGTTGCAATCATCTTCGATCACCACATTATTTTATATCATCAATTCATAAGTGTATATTTCGCGCACAACTCTGTTCATCATGGTCGGATTATTTATTAAAAAAATGTATTGATCCAATTGATAATGATTTAACTTATCCTCGTATGGGTTATCATGCTGATCAAAGTGATCCTATATATAGACATGGGAATGGTAGCTTCTTTTTAAAAACAATACCAAAAGAACCTTATTGTTCACACTCATTATAAACACAAATATCCTGGAAATTAAAAAGAAAGAAATAAAAAATTATAAAAAAGTTTCTCAAAAATTTTGGTTCAGAAAATAAAGTAAAGCATAATCTATTAATTTGTCAGCAGTATGTTTTTTTGGTTTTATTTCTTCAATATTATACAAAGTAAAACTGTTTATAATCATTATATATCAATCAGAAAAAGGAAAGAAAAAAAATTGCAACGCACGTACATATAGAAAAGAAAATGAAAATCGACAATAGTAATATATAGAAGAAAAAAATTGCTCGAGGAGCAAAAATAAGTATAGAGCTTATTACAAAATCGTACATGCAGATGTGAAAACGATCGGACGTATTCATGTATTAAATATATTTATATATGGGGTTGAGCAGTCTGACCGGAAGCCCTAACTATTTTTTATATCATGTAGCTTCTATAGTACATTAGAGAATTATGATTTTTTACCTGTGATAGTACTCATATAATGCTGATGATCGATCAACTTCAAGGGGTCTGTACCTTGTTTAAAAACAAAACAGTTAAAGCTTTAAAAAAAATTGTTCATAACTAGTAAGAGATTTTTTGAAAGCTTTAACTGTTTTGTTTTTAAACAAGGTACAGACCCCTTGAAATTGATCGATCATCAGCATTATATGAGTACCAACACAGGTAAAAAAATTATAATTCTCCAATGTACTATAGAAGCTACGTGATATAAAAAATAGTTGGGGCTTCCGGTCAGACTGCTCAACCCCATATACTACTAAAGGTAGAAATAAAATTATCATACAATTGTAGATTTACAAAATAATTAAACACAAATGAACGCTGATGTTGCATTAATTATCTTATCGATTAATTATTAGTAGGGATATGGATGTAACTCTTCCCTTCATCAAAACCCACCCTCATCTACAATATTGTAGTATCACCTCAGCAATAGGTTACGATGAAACTGGATCGACATCATACACGCAGTCTCGATTCCAAAGTGATACATCAATCGAGAGGTTTTTCTCGTTCAACTGTTGCCTTGCTCTTATGAACTATTCTATACCTTTCAGAACCGATCTCTTTTTTTCTTTGTTATTTTCTAATACACTCACCCACGTCCCCATTCATATTCTACTGATTGCTTGTTTGCAGCTCTCTTTCGAGACTCTTCTTACGATTCGTTTCAGTTAATTTGACAAATAAACTTTCAGCTTTATTGAAAAGTCTAACAACACCAGCATATACTAGGGCTGTACAGCTCACCCTCATATGAGCACTCATGAACGTGAACGTTTCTGAAGTAACTAAAGCACGAATGCCTTTGATCACTTTTCAACTTTATTCTTCGAAAATCGACATTGATGATTTTTTGTGCCTGGGGAGCCCCCTCAGCTATCATGAAATAAAAAATTTTTGGGTGTGGGTATGGGTGTGGGTGTAGATGTGGGTGGGTATGGGTCCGGATGGGTGTGGGTGGGTGGGTGTGGGTGGGTATCGGTGTGGATGTCGGTGTGGGTCTGGATATCACTGGAAACCACACCCACACCCACACCACACACCCACATCCACACCACACACCCACATCCACACCACACACCCACATCCACACCACACACCCAAAGCTCTAGACAATCAGCGAGCAAGAAGAGTTTGATGAAAATGTTTTTTCTCAACAAAACACAAACTCTCGGAAATTTTTACAATATTTTTTCAGTTGTCATACAGAATTTCATTACTTATCGTAATGCATACTATTTTTACTATCTTTAAACTTCCATAAAGTTTTTTAACACTGGTACTTCAATAAAGTCAACCAAGCCGTGCGATCACTTACTCTTTCTGCTATTAAGGAAAAGAAAAGCATCTTTTACTTCGTATTAGATTAGCGTGGGTGGGTGTGGATGTGGGTTTGGTGCATGTGGGGTGGGTGTCGGTGTGAGTTTGCGTATATGTCTGGATGTGGGTATGAACGAATTCAGCAGCTGCATAGACCCTAATTACCATACCCACCTCACAACCACACACACTATCCCGCCCTAGACCCACCACACACGCACACTGTACCCACACCCTCAATTAAGATTTGAATAACATGAATTCGAATCAATTAAATGCTTTTTCTTAATATTTTGATATATCAAACGATATGGATGATTCGTTAAAAATAATTTTTTGGAGAGAAAGAACTTTAAATTCATTAGATAATCAAATGAAAAGATTTTTGAATGAAGAATAGATAAATGTTTATTTTAACAAGAAAGAAAGGAGAAGATCGTCGTCTCCTTTATATAGAAAATCCAGATCAAGAAACAAGACTATGTGATAATGATTGATTGAAAGAAGATTTTCGATTAGTTTCTTCTGTTTAAAGAATACTTCTATTAACATTTGTTGTGTGGAACCAAAGATGATGGAATTGAAAAAGGTGTCATTGATGATGAAAGAATTAATTGATTGTCTTGTGGAGAAAATAACGAATCAATTTATGCCTCATCTTGTCTCATTTTTTTTGTTGTTATTATTGGATTTAAATGTAAACCAATTGAGGGTGTGGGTGTGGATGTGGATGTAGATGTGAGTGTAGGTGCGGGGTGCAGAAGTGGGTGTGGATTGTGAGTATGGATGTGACTGACGACGAAGTCTTTATCCAGAGCTGTACTAACTCCCAAACCCACACTCACACCCTCATACTTACCCACATCCACACTTACACCCACTCACACTCCACATCCCAGACAGCCCTTGGAAAGTATCTAGAACTACGTCAAGAAAGTCCTTGAAAACTTAACGATACCAAATCCCAATAGCTCTTGGTGACTTATGGGTACTGATAATGGATAGCCCTTGAGGGCTTATAGTTATTCCATAGGATAGTCTTTGAGGACTGATAAGTACTCCCATAACATAGTCCTTTCGGCCTTATGAGTATTCTGATAGCATAGTCCTCCTTTCAGACTTATGGATACTTCTATAGGATAGGCCTCGAGGACTTATAGTTACCCCTCATAGGATAGTCCTTGAGCACACATGGGTCCTCTCAAGGTAGTCCTAGGAAATCCATCAGATAGCTCATATGAAAAGAACTGGTAACCTACTCTAGCTCACGGGAGCTGAGATGGTGAACAGTTCCAGCTCCAGCCCAAGTGAGCTGGAGCTGTCTACAACTCTTCGACTCAGCTCTCGCGAGCTGTGGACCTGAGCTGTCATACATCTATTCGTACTTCTCTGTACTTCTTGATACTTCTTCGTACTTCACAACTACAGAAGTATGCTTTTTTTCCTTGATCAACATTCCCATCTCATAAAAGGTTCAAATACGGTCTTCACTCCATTATGTATTCCATTCTCTAACCAGGAAACATTCCCAGGTGCCCGAGAGCTTTTCGGGTGGAACTTAGTGCATCTTGTAGATCTTAGTGACCTATGTCTACTATAAAAAAAGGTTCGTGTTTATGGCCTGTTTCTGAGAAGATTGAACGTTTTTAATTTTATAACTGAGTCAGCAGTGGACAATAGTACGAAGTCGTTGGGGAAATTGTTCCCGTTTATGGAGAAATGCTTCACCCCACATAAAATCATGCATAACAAGGAGAAATGGAAAGAAAGAAAAAATACTAATATATATAATCTATTATATGATATTGTCCATATACTTGAACTTAGAGGGAAATGGTTTTTCTTTCAGAGGGAAATGGTTCAACAAGGAGAAATGGAAAGAAAGAAAAAAAAATATATATAGATATAATCTATTATATGGAAAAATAAAGAAAACCTAGTTCTATCTCTATTAGATGAAAAAAAATGATTATTTCATTAGAACGACATAAAATTAAAGGAAAACTACCTCTATCTCCACTAGATGCGAAAAATGATTGTTTTCATTAAGATGGAATGAAAAATAAAGAAAAACTATCTCCATCTCTACTAAGTGAACAAACCATTATTTTCATTAGAATGAAATAAAATTACAGGAAAACTATCTCTATCTCAACTAGATGAGGAAAATGATCGTGTTTATTAAGATGGAATGAAAACTAAACAAAAACTATCTATATCTCCACCAGATGAAAAAAAAATATTTTTCTGATTAAAATGCACTAGAACTAGCGGAATCTTAACTCAATCTTTACCATACAAAAAAATGATTACTTTTATTAAAATGGAAAATCACGTAACAAAAACTAACTCATTTCACCAGCTATATTAACCATTTCATATGAAAAAAATACATATCTGCTAGAAAATCCTATATAAGAGAGGAAATAAAATAATCGATTTCTCTTTGAATAAATCCATTTCTCTTTATACATAGAAAAATGGATGAAGCATTTCTCCTGGTATTTTAACCATATCTGGTGAAAAAAATCCATATCTGCTAGCAAAATCCCATATAGGAGAGAAAATAAAATAATCGATTTCTCTTTGAATAAATCCATTTCTCTTCATAAAGAGAGAAATGGATGAACCATTTCTCCTGGTATTTTAACCATTTCTACTGGAAAAAATCCATATCTGCTAGAAAATCATATATAAGAGAGAAAATAAAATAATCGATTTCTCTTTGAATAAATCCATTTCTCTTTATACATAGAGAAATGGATGAACCATTTCTCCTGCAATTTTAACTATTTCTGTTGGGAAAAATCCATATCTGCTAGAAAAACCTATATAAGAGACAAAATAAAATAATCCATTTCTCTTTGAATAAATCCATTTCTCTTTATAAAGAGAGAAATGGATGAAGCATTTCTCCTACTATTTTAACCATTTCTACTGGAAAAAATCCATATCTGCTAGAAAATCCTATATAAGAGAGAAAATAAAATAGTCGATTTCTCTTTGAATAAATCCATTTCTCTTTATACATAGAGAAATGGATGAAGCATTGCTCCTACTATTTTAACCATTTCTACTGGAAAAAATCCATATGTGCTAGAAAATCCTATATAAGAGAGAAAATAAAATAGTCGATTTCTCTTTGAATAAATCCATTTCTCTTTATACATAGAGAAATGGAT